TCTCACCCCTCCCGGCCTCACCCAGAGCTGGCGTGAGAATCCAGGTCCTCGGACTCCCTGCCCAGCGGGGCCTGCTGTCCATCCCCAGCCACCCTGCCGGCCCAGGCTGCTGGCACCTGACCCTGGACGGCCACACGGGAAGGAACTTAGGGCTGACCCCAGCAGTAGAGACCTCAGGGAGGTTGGGAGGGTCCGCAGGGCAGGGGCACTCACGTTTCCGAAGGCCAGGAGCACGGAATCAAAGTACAGGAGCACTCCAAGGAGGATGAAGAAGGCTCCGAAGCCGGTGATGCCCACGCCAATCTCTGCAACAGGCAAGGAGGCCGTGGTGGGAGGGGCTCTGGGGAGAGGCGGGCCTGGGATTTCCCGGTGACCCCCAGACAGGTGCCCTCGGGGGAGCTCTGTGCTCCGGGGGAATGATGGGATGGGAAAGGAAAAATGAGCACCAGCCCCAAAGGGCCCGGAAACCACCAGCTGTCCTGCCTGTTTCTCAAGAGACTGGCCTTCCTGTCTCGTTCCTCCCCTAACTGCCCCTGCCCCGCCTTCCCGGTGAACACCTGTCACCCTGGTTTGGAAAAACAGAAGGCATCGATCAGTTGTGTGCTCGTCTGTCCTCCTGGAGTCCACACCCCAGCCGGCACCGCTCCCTTTCCTCCCTCTCTCCTGCAGCGGCTGCCTCTGGGCCCCACCACCTGTCCCTGAGCCTCTGGTGGGGGCCACAGTGGCCTGCAGTCCTGCCCAAGGTTGGGGCCGCGTGGCAGCGCCCCCTGGTGGCAGTGCGTCTCAGGGCGTCGCTCTTTGCAGCTGCAGGAGTTTGCTCAGAGCCAGTGCAGGACCTTAAGGCCCTTGTTAGGTCAAGGCCTGCATTTTGGACACTTTGATACATATTTCAGATCGCTCCCCTCAGGAAGAGTTGTAACAATAACCGGATATGAAGTTCCTTCTTTTCTTAAACCCTACGCGTAACACAGAATTGTTCATTTTACTTATCTTTGCCATTCTGAGAGTCAGCAAGTGATAATTCATTGTCTCGCTTCATTTTTAAGATATTTTTATTGATTTCAGAGAGGAAGGGAGAGGGGGGGAGAGAGATAGAAACATCATCGATGAGAGAGAATCATGGATCGGCCACCTCCTGAATGCTCCCTAGTGGGGGTCGAGCCTGCGACTCACGCATGTGCCCTTGACTGAAATCGAACCCGGGACCCCTT